ACAGACAAACTCACAATTATGGGGATACATTAAAGAGATATAAGAACCAATTGAAAGAGTATTCAGTGACCAAGGTTAATAGTTTGACCGACTAAATTACTAGATTAGAAATCAAATTGTAAAAATATCCATACTGATATAAATAAATTAATAAATAAATAAGTGAAGAAATAAGAGACAATAGACTCTTGTGTAGAAGACTTCCAAATAATTTATCCAGATACTCTAGCCTCAAGGAGGTAAAGCATGACTCTCTGTCCCGTCAGTGTGGCAACATATAGTGACTTCCTTCCAAAGCGCACAGCAGAGAAAACTGGAGAAAAGAATAACTTCACAGTGGAGAAAACAGATCAGTGCAATCATACATGATCCAAGTTAACATGGCAGTGATCAGTTATGTCGATAGTGCGTATCCTTGATATGATGTCATGAAAACACACTTCACCTCTGTAATTTTCCACCCCCAAAGCTAACCAAACTAAGTCTGATCATGAGAAAAACATCAAATCAATCCCAATGGAGAGATAGTCTACAAAATGCCTGACGAGTATGCCTCAAAACTGTCAAAGTCATCAAATCAAGCTGAGTTTGAGAAACTAATAATGCTAAGAGGAGCCTAAGGAGACTTCATGACTAAATGTAGTATGATGTGCAGCATTGGGTCCCAGGGCAGAAAAAGAATAATAAGTAAAAATGAAGGAATTCTAAATAAAGTATAGACTGAGGTTAATAATAATGTGTCCATATCGATTCATTGATGGTGAGAGATATGCCACACTATTGTAAGATGTTCCATTTGAGGACATCTAGGTATGGGGTGTATGGGAGCTATCTGTACCATCTTTGTAATCTTTCTGAAAATATAAAACTATGTTAAATTTTAAGTTTAAGAAAAACCAAAGAGACAAACTAATTAGTCTACAATGGGAACTGTTACTAGCCCAAAGGATGGTTATTTTGATTATTATACTGGCACTCAAAGGTCAGCTCCATTAGAAAAGCTATAATACAGATACAATTTAGAATGTTTCCACATATACAAAAGGTAAAGCTCAAAAGTTATGTAAATTATTTTGTTTTATTCACAATTTGATTCCTTTAGTATTTTTTATTCTTCTTACACTAGGAAAGGTAACAGTTTTACTTCGTAAGCCGAAATGTTCTATGTCATCATTCTCATTTTGTTCCAGGCTTACTTAATAAAAGTTTGAGTGGGTGAAGAATGAGCCAAATGTATCAGTGAGCAAAGTGAATATGATATATTAAACATGCTGTTGATATTGAGGAAGCTGGCTACAGTTATTTTAATGCACTTGATGTTGTAAAGCACCATGCAGCAGCGGAGGAGTGCTGCCACTCACAATTTGTGCATCATCATTAGGTCCCCAGGAGCTGTCAGTGTCCCCACTTTGAGCAGCTTTTACCCAAATGATGCAGAGGTGGTCTTGCCAGAGAGGACATTATCCCTAAACTACTCTGGGCTGAGAAGAGGTCTTCTCTCCCGATTCTGAACCAATTTTAAAGAGCACTCTATATTCAACCTCTGAGAAGACCAAGTTTGGCAATGATGTTATTAAATCAAGCAGTCTTTGATAGCTACATAATTTGTGTTTAACTCTGATGGATGTAAGTAAATAACAAAGTATTCCACTTCAGGCTGGTTAAGTGTGTGTTGATTCTTATTTGATAGCTTCACTCTAAAATGATTGATTATTTTATTAAATAATTGATTACATTTTAAAATAAAGCACAAACCCCCAACTAATAAAACCCTAATATATGAAACTAAAATGAGACAAACTCAGGTTTGAATGATATGTGATGATGCATTTATTTTCCATTATTAATTCATGCATTTCACAAATATTTATTAAATCTGTATATGAAAAATAATTTTCTGGTTCTGAAAATATAGCAGTGAATGAAACCAAATTATTTTTTGCCTTCCTAGAGCATGCAAGTGAAATGCAGCTTATGCATAGAAAGGTGGCAACACCATCAAGTATTAGGTGAAAACTAAGAGTTGTCTAAGGAATAGAGCAGTCAAAAAGAGAATGTTGTCAAGTAGTAAAGTGAGTGAAGAAAGTTCAAGTCTTTGCATATTTACTAACATGATGCAATAAATGTATAATAATAATGAGAAAGTCAGTGTAATTCATAATTCAAGACAATTTATAAAAGTAATAAATAATGATCAAAGCACACTAAAAAAATCCACTGTCTTCTCTAAGCTTCTATTACTGTTTCTACTTCAGTAAATTTGCTACTTTCCTATAAACAGTTTGATGAACTAGAGGGTTCCATGCCATCCTTTTTCTTCTTTCTTGTCTTCTGGACGCTTTGTCCATGGTGCAGAGTATGGCATGACTTGTCTTCACTAGGGAATCAACAGGAACTTTATGTTTTTGCCACAATGTGACTGGGGGAAATGCTGATCTATTACAACTTCCACGGGAGTAAACAAGCTGCAATTTCAAAACCACTTGTAACCCTGGCTGGTGTGGCTCGTGGACTGAGTGCCAGTCTGTGAACCAAAGGGTTGCCAGTTCGATTCCTAGTCAGGGCACTTGCTTGGGTTGTGGGCTGTGTCCCCAGTAAGGGCTATGCAAGTGGTAACTGCACACTGATGTTTCCCTAACTTTCTCCCCACCTTCCCCTCTCTAAAAATAAATAAATAAATAAATAAATAAATAAATAAATAAATAAAATATTTTTAAAAAGAAACTACTTGTAGACTATTTGGTCTTTGTATGCCCACTATGTGTTATAACATTTCAGAAAATTTTTGTGGAATTGGACATATTAAAGAAAACAAAGTAAGACTGAAAATATGCATCATTTGAACCTGAATTTTACAGAGGTCTGTGATTAAAGGAATAAAAATACACATTAAAATACCAAAGTCATCATCACCCTATCATAGGTATAGAAAATATGAGTTAACTAATTTTGCTCTCTTGCAGATTATATGTGGTTTTGTTTTAATTTTATTAAAAGACATTCTTCACCCTTCAGTTTCATAGTTAAGTTTGTTGACAGTAATTTAAAAATAAGTTTTTTGTGTATCCCTTTCATTTTTTAAACATCAATCACTCATTCCATACATGCTTATTGGATGCTTCTCTGTCCCAAGCACAGCTCTAATTCTAGGAAATCAGCAGTGAATAAAATAAGCATATTCCTGCCTTCACAGAAATTACACTTGCCTTGAGAGGACTGAAAAAAGCAAATTATAATTAAGATATGTATATTAGATGTGTGTGTGCAAGAGCTAAGGAGAAAAATAAGACACTGAAGGAGCAGAGGGCATGGTGAGCTGAGAAGGTATAAGGTGAGTTAGTTACTTAAGTTGTAAAGTAGACATGTAAAGTCTCAGTGAGAAACCCAGAGGAAAGGGAGAGAGCTCTGGAGAAGCACCTCCGAGTGAGGAATGACAAGTGCACTGGTCCTTAGGAGTGCCTGAAGTGCCTGAGGACAGAAAGCCTGGGCAGAGCTGCTGAAGAACAGTAGCAGGGGGTGAGGTGAGAAAAGATGCATGTGTTGATCGTTATTTGAAATTCTGGGTTTGTGTTTTAGTCTCAGTTAATTATACACACACACATACACCTATACATATTTTATATAAATATAAGTATTGAATACATGCATATAATTTAATTTTATCAGATATCTGATACCATTTATAATGTTCTGATATAGATGGGCCTATGACTCTTGTTATATACTGCTCCTTATGGCTGACATCTTTAACATCATATATATATATACACACACACACACACACACATTATATACATACATATTATAGCTTATATATATTGTATCACATGCACACATCATTCTTAGTCCATGACAGTATTTCCTATGTCTTTTATAAAAGCTAAAGGCTGCAAAAACAAAGGTAATCTATATCAGAAAAATACTAGCTGACACTTTTTTTAACATATTTAGTTTTAGACAGAGAGGGAGAAAGGGAGTAAAAGAGGGAGAGAAATATCAATGTGTGGTTGCCTCTCATGTGCCCTCTACTGGGGACTTGGCCCACAACCCAGGCATGTGCCCTGACTGGGAATCAAACCAGCAGCCCTTTGGTCCACAGGCTGGCACTCAATTCATTGAGCCACACCAGCCAGGGCATTAGTCAATAGTCCTTTATGATGTTACAGCCAGTGTCCATATAGGTCTCAGCAAACTGATAAAAATGGATGTTGAATCAGATATCCATGTGTTTGGAAATTTTAAATATCCAGACATATGTGAAATAGCATATTTTTTTCTATTTTCATCATAAATGTAGTCATTTAATAGATATTGGCAAATAACAACAGACATCATATTTGTTACTTCTCATGAATTATTTGTGGGAAATGAAAACAATGGAAAACATTTCTTTGTTACATTTTCAAGATATATCAAATATTTTATAATGTATTTTGAAGTAAAGTACACACTATATTTAATATGTGAATTTAATAATAATGAAAGGAAACACATGATATCAAAATAATAATTGGTAAAAGAACCTTAAAGATGTAAAAGTGTAGCAATATAGATAATTATGTATCTATTAGCATAATGGCATGTATTACAGAATCCATAGATTTTAAAAACAGAAGATAGAACAGGTCATCCAAAACATTATTCTTGAAGAAAATGTAAAATAATTCATTTATGTTTATGAACTTCATAGAAGAAAATGTAAAATAATTCATTTATGTTTATGAACTTCATAGAAAAATGCAGACTTAAGATTCTATGTAACTACAGTTTTATTATAGAAAATTCTGATGATACTTAGTTGATTTATATTTGTAAAACACATTACAACTTGTAAATCTTTTATTGTATAGAGAAAGTAAAATTGTTTCCAGGCTAACAGAAAATTTAATTATTTTGGATTTTTATTACAGTACATTCTAAGAATGCCAATATATGTTATACACAGTTGTAATTTGGGGGCTCTGTTAATCATACAACTCTTTATTTATACTATTTTGCAGCCCCCTCTCCAATCACCAATGTGAAAAAAGGGAAGATTGCAAAGAACAGCATCTCTTTGTCTTGGCAAGAGCCAGATCGCCCCAATGGAATCATCCTGGAGTACGAAATCAAATATTTTGAAAAGGTGGGACTAACACGATAAAGTATGCCCTTTATCATATTTTTTCTGCATTTTAGCAACTGCAATTATCTAATTTGTAGGAAAACATGTTGCAATTTTATGTGTAAATCAATGACAATCGATTCTGCAGTCATGATTATGGAGGCTAAGAGTGTACAGGAAGCACTCTATTTCTGTTCTTCAGCTGCCAAATAGTTTATGCTGCCTGGATACTGCCATGTAGTCTACGTCACCTTAACTAGGTTTCACAGCATTAAGAGATGAAGTCATAGGGCCTTTCAAAGTGTCACAAACACTCAAGTTGTTGACCTTCATTAGTAACTGAGGTGCAGGACACAAAGAAGCAGGCGTAGCATCCAGGGAACCTGCATAATACCTATACTAAGAAGGACATATAAGCAGATAAGATGTGTATGTCACAAATAATTTTTAAAAACCCACTACAAAGTCTAACACTGTAGCATAAAATTTATTTTTAAATTTAGGGCTCCAAAATTGGAAACATGTGCCTCATGTTCCCTCTCTTTTTCTGATGTCTTCGTCTTCCCTGAGTTGCCTCTTAGGCCTACCCTTTCATGTTTTGTTATAATAGTATTTAAGTTCTGAAGGGAGTAATCATCCCTCTTTTTCTTTTCTGGACCCACAACCAAGCAAGCTATTAATGAAGGAAAAGTACAAATGGAAACTAAAAATGAGTATCTAATTTCTAAACCTGGACACAAGTATTTTGCTGAGATATGTAGCCACCATGCTACAACTTCCAGCCCCATTTTACTGCGGTGTTTGCAGTCTGAATCTTAATGGCATACTCCACTTAGAGCAACCTGAGTTCTAATAGAGGCGACTGAGAGAGGTGAGTGTCCAAAATAGCCTCTAATTGGACACTGCTTGGAGTGTATGTCCTATGGAAGTAGGAGTGGGAATGATTGTAGATACAATGCAGAGAATAAGATCTGAAAAGGGAAGCCACCCTTACTAAACTGTCTCTTTCAGACTCACAGGTATCACCCTTTCCCTCTTAAGGAAGAGTGAAGAGAGTAAGAGGAAATCCAAAAACATAGTTTATAATACTTAGGAAATAGTCCAGGCTAGTACATTGGAAAAGAGAGGGGACATGCATGATTCTCATTATACTAATGCAAAAATATCATTAAAAATGATTATTTCAGCCCTGGCTGGTGTGGCTCAGTGGATCGAGTGCTGGCCTGTGAACCAAAGGGTCACCAGCTCAATTCCCAGTCAGGGCACATGCCTGGGTTATGGGTCAGGTACCCAGTAGGGGGTGCTCTAGAGGAAACCACACATTGATTTTTCTCTTCCTCTCTTTTTCCTTCCCTTCCCCTCTCTCTAAAAATAAATAAATAAAATATTTTTAAAATGCTGATTTCTTATTAGTGAAAATTACTTAAAAACACAACATTCTACATGCACACACACACGAGCGTAAGTGTATTGAAATATTTAAATAATTCATCACATTATAGAATATTTTCTTTCTTCCTCTTTCTTCCTCTTTCTTTTCTTTCTTTCTTTCTTTCTTTCTTTTTTCTTTGTTTCTTTCTTTCTCTTTCTCTTTTTCTTTCTTCCTTTTTCTTTCTTTGACAATTCCCTGTGTAAAGGTACAACAGAGTACAAAACAGTAGGGTGTGAAGGGAGGGGAGAGCAGGGCTACTTAAATATTCTTTCTAGGTCTTGTATATCTGTTCAATGTTCATATGTTGCCTTTATAAATAGATGCATAAGCCAAACATGATCTTTTGAAATTATTGTTTTAGGTATGACAATGATAGCATTGCACATCACTATTGGATCATTAGGGAACATAATGAAGATATTTATAAGATATTTCACAAAAACACTCTATCAAATACATTAGTTACCAATACTTCTCTAAGATAATACATCTGAGAAAAAACAATGTTGTGATATGGTTTATAGAGTTTATTATAAAAAACACATAACTTAAATCAAGTAAAATATTGTTATATAAATATTCCTTACCAGTTCCCGTTTACCCAAACTGAAGTGCAAATACTACAGGTGCACAATTTAAATACATGTTATATTCAAATATAATTTGTTAAATTAAAGATTATAGTCCTTATTCAAGTTTTATAAACTTTACTACTGTATTAGTAAACTTTACTAATGCAAAGCCAGATAACTATATCTATATATATGTACATACATATGAACATAGACTGAATTTTTGTAAATATTGTCTCCAAATTTATATTATAATTAAATTTGATTAAAATATTGAATGCATAATGACATCTAAAAATACCTATACAACAATAACTACACATTTGTGATTTTTGCACCTGAAAACATCATATTTATTATCATACTGTTCTGTATGTCAGAAGAACAACATGCCTCTTATTGGTTTAAAGTCAAAGTGTCAGCCAGTCTGCATTCCTTTCTGAAGACTAGGGAGAATCCTGTTTTCTTGCCTTTTCCAACTCTAGTTTTCCTTTTTCTCTTTAAGGAAATTATCCTATTTTCCTTCTTATGAGAAAACTTTGTTTTACTATTATTCCCCAGCATATGCATGAGTCATATATATGTGTATATATATATATGGAAAGATTTATCTTTTCACAATATTTTAAGATACTATTAAAGAGTTACTCAACAAGTGATGGAACAGAGTTCGTTTCTATTAATATACCTTCTAATAAATGTTGTTCATGTTGTGGAATTTTATTTATAGTTCAATTTATTTTACAATCATAATTGATTTCAATAAGAGTTGACTTTAATCTTTTATATATAATGATGTATTAATTTATTTTATTGTCTGTATAACTCAAAGTAAGAATAATAATTTGGGGTAAAAAAGAGTTCTACACATATCCCCAATAAATAATAAGTTGCCTACTTACATGAAATACAGTCAGAGAAACCATTTATATAACATTATTTGGGGGAAGTTATTAACTTTTTAGGTCAATATTTTTCATTTTATACTGAAGCTATTAAATCCCAGACCTTTTGCCAAGCTAAATTATTGAGCATTCCAATAAAATGCATGTGAAGTTTTGTTTTGTTTTTAACACTTTCAAAAGAAAAAAGGAGGATAATGAGTTTTAATTCCACATATTAAGAAAGGGTCCTGACAGGTTTCCAGAGTTCAGTTTGAACCTTCAGAATGACACCGCCACTTTATTGGATGGCTCTGGGCCAGACACAGGTGGCAGAGCTTTCCAGGGCTCAGGCATTTGCCAGCTGGCATTTCTGCCTGCAATTGCCCTGCTCTAATAGAGGTCATTGGGCTTCTCTGCTCCTGCATGGTGATGGGCCCATTGCCATCTCTTAATTAAAGACAGAGGCTAAGGGAAGCTGCCCCTCTGCAGGGTGTTAGCCAGCTGGCTTCTGCTGAGGCCCTCCCCTCCCTGCATGTGAAGAGTGTTTGCTAAGGAGCTGGGGAAATGTAGCTCATTTGCTCAGTGAGGGGGAGCAAAAAGGCAGCAAAAGCCACTTCACCAACCAAGGACTTGGCAGCCTGTTGTTATGTAGCTGTGGATTTTAAAGAGGTGTATATAGGGTCTGTGATATGTAGGAAATTAGAATAAAACAGTGATTGAAAAGAATGGAGGAGAGGCAAATTTTGGAAGATATTTAGATAATTCAAAACATGCATTTATGGGTTTTGATCCCTTAGATATATGCTTAGCTAAGTCCCTTCAATAAAATAGTGTCCAACTCACCCTGAAAGACAGTGTGCAATTAGACCTGTGATAAGGAACCACTGGGATATGTACAGTGTTAACAGATAAATCTGAATGTTGCATAATTTTGTGCAACTTATCTTATTTTGTGCAACTGTATTATTTCAAGGAGCAGCTTTCCAGATTCCTTGCAATTCTTTTTTCCTTCTCTTCTTTTGACAACAGTATTGATTTGTAATTTTTTACAAAATGTGCTACTTGTGACTTCATTAGTTAGAATTTTCAACCATGTAAGCTTTTTTTTTCTTTTCTATGGAAGAAAATTTCATCATGCTGAAGGGTCAAATCAAATTTATTATAGAGATTTTTTGGCTGCTATGTATATTATCTCCATCTCTTTCTATGTGCTCACATGCTCTTGATAAATAATTTCATCCCACTTTAAGTGTCAAAATTCAAAAATGGAACCACATAGAAATGGAGCCTAAGTTGCCTTGCCAGAGGAAAGGCCTTGCACACTGTAGGCCTGGAACCTTTGAAATGTTAAAACAGGGCAAATAATAACCTTTGGGTTGGGCTTAAAGCAATATCGTGCCCAAAGAACACTTTGTAAAGATAACAAGAAAGCATATGACTGTCCGTCTGAAGACTACCAATCTGAAAATTAAAAAAAAAATTAGATTTGACATCATTACGTTAGCTTTTTTGCATCAATAGAAATGCCTTCCTTCTGTTGATGGGATTGTTCTTCCTTTTTCATAAATATTCCCCCACAGTTGTGTCCTAATCAGAACAGTACTTGAGCCTCTGCCTGAATCAGTGCTTTACTGAATAGCTGTTCTTTGACTTCAAATAAATGTTTGTTGCTTCTCACTTTGAAGGGCTTTTTGTATTTAACATATCAAAGAAAAAACAAGTTGAGTTGTGTACTCCCATTTACACACATACTTGAATTATGTGGCTGAAATTCTAACACTGATATTCCTGTACTCTTTCATGAATAGAGCATCTTCTCTACATTATAAGTGTTAATATTTTATGTAAAAATCATAACTGTCAAATGTATCAGAATCTTAACTTTAGTCTTATCTGGATTTCCCTAACTTAAATTCCCCTTAAATTCCCTTAAAGATATTTTATCATTTCTTAACGAAAATTACTGCCTTAATCACAGCCCAACTACAAAGTATAATACTATTGAGAAAGTCTTGCTTATTCACTCACAATCTTGAGCATACTTAGAACATCAGTGACCTCAATAGTTTATAGAAGCTATTTACCTCTTTTAAAGCAACCCATCAAGATAATGCCTGCTTTTCTACTGCTGTTTCCTTAGTATATAAAAGGGGCATGAGAGTAGGTGCCAGAAGATCCATAAATGAAGAAAATTACATTACTAGGTAAAGTTTTACAGGATTTAATCATCTACTTTATTTTTTATTTATAAAAATTATGTATTCATATTACATGTTTATTTTTATATTTAAGTATATTTTATTGATCAGGCTATTAGAGTTGTCCCAATGTTCCCCTGTTGTCCCCTCTGCACAGTATCTACCTTACCTCCAGCATTTCTCCCCTTAGTTCATGTCCACGGATTGTACATGTAAGGTCCTTGGCTTTTCCATTCCCCATACTACTCTTAACTTCCCCCTGTCTATTTTGTACCTACCAATTATGCTTCTTATTCCCTGTACCTTTCTCCATATGCCCCCTTCCTCCTACCTGCTGATAACCCTCCATGTGATCTTATTTCTGTGATCCTGTTCCTGTTCTAGTTGTTTGCTTAGTTTTTGTTTTCTTTTTGTTAGTTTTCTAAATTCAGTCATTTATAGTTGTGAGTTTGTTTTCATTTTACTATTCATAGTTTTGATCTTTTTTGTAAATAAGTCCCATTAAGATTTCATGTAACACCGGCTTGGTGGTGATGAACTCTAGCTTTACCTTGTCTTGGAAGCACTTTATCTGTCCCTCCATCCTCAATGATAGCTTTGCTGGGTAGAATAATGTTGGTTGTAGGTCCTTGCTTTTCATCCCTTTGAATACTTCTTACCAGTGCCTTCTTGCCTACAAAGTATCCTTAGAGAAATCAGCTGACAATTTTGTGGGAACTCCTTTGTAGGTAACTCTGTGCTTTTCTCTTGTTACTTTTAAGATTCTCTCTTTATTTTTAACCTTTGGCATTTTAATTATTATGCATCTTGCTGTGGTCCTCTTTGGGTCTAACTTGTTGGGAACTCTCTGTGCTTCTTGGACTTATATGTCTATTTCCTTCTCCAAATTAGGGAAGTTTTCTTTCATTTTTTCAAATAAGTACATTTTTCTATTTCATGCTCTTTCTCTTCTCCTTCTGACATCCCTATGATTCGGATGTTTGCACAATTGGACATGTCCACGAGCCTTCTTAATTCTCTCCTTTTTTAATTCTTGTTTCTTCATTTTGTACAGGTTGATTGTTTATTTCTTCCTTATGTTCCAAACTGTTGGTTTGAACCCTGGCTGTACAGGTTGATTGTTTATTTCTTCCTTATGTTCCAAACTGTTGGTTTGAACCCTGGTTTCCTTCCTTCACTGTTGGTTTCCTGTGGATTTTAATTTGATTCATTTAGTGTAGCCTTCATTTCTTCTCTTATCAGTTTGCCATACTCAAGGGGTTCTCTGAGCATCCTTATCACCAGCATTTTGAACTCTGCATCTGTTAGGTAGGCTCTCTCTGTTTCACTTAGCTCCTTTTCTCAAATGTTGCTCTGTTCTTTCATTTGGGCCATATTTCTTTTTCTCCTCAATTTGGCACCCTTCCTGTGTTTGTATCTGTGTATTAGGTAGAGCTGCTCTGACTCCCTTTCTTGACACACCTGTTAGGTTGTAAGGGGCAGAGCCTTAGGTATTTGCCAGGGTAGGGCAACCCTCTTCACCACTTTATGGAGCTGTATGTGGGGGAGGGGTCAAAGAGGGAACAATGCTTTTTGGTCGCTCTTGCCACATTTCCACTCCCTGCTTTCACTTCTGGTATGTCACTGGCACCCTTCTAGCTGCTACCCTGGTGATGAATTCTGTAGGAGACCATTCTGCGTGGTGTGGGCCCAGCTCCTACTCAGAGATGCATGGGACCCATGCCCATGGATAGATTCTCCCATGGGGAATCAGGCCTGCAATGTGCCTAGGCTGCTTTGAAGCTTGCTTTTGCTAAAAAACTCCCTCACCCTGAACTGAGGACATTTACTGCAAAGTAACTTCCTAAAATCCATGCTAAACCTTCCAAGGATGAGTGTAACCACTTCAACCACTTTTGCCTTTTCATTTGCAAATATCCCTTTTCTGTGATGTGATTGGTAGAAATCTCCTTTGTTTTCTGTAAAAGGTAACCACTTAAATTGAACCTGTGTATAGTAATTGAAGACCATCATGTAATGTCCAGAGAAACCCAATAAAGGCCAGTCATGGCAAGGGCCAAGGCTTTTGCTCCCCTTGAGAAAAAAGCCATGCTGTCCCTTTTCCTCCACCAGACTCAGTAGTCTGTGTGAATGTCTCATTTCACCCATAATGACATGGACACTGTGGGCCAGTGTCTGCATCAGAATTCTAGAATGGGTGTGTTTGCATATGTTCTAGGACTGTGCAGGTCCTTAAACAGACTCTCCTGTGAGACTAGAAGTTTCTTTTGCCACCTTAATCCCCACTGGTTTTTATAGCCAGAAGTTATGAGGCTTTATTTTCCGCGCCCTGGAACCCTGCCCTGCACAGTCTAGCCTGGGTCTGGGGTCACTCCTTCCCCAGATGCCCCCCCTGTTTTTATCTGCTACGTGTGAATGTGGGGCTGCCCATTCCATCCACCCCATCAGTGCTTCACTGCTGCCACACTGCATCCTCTCTGCTTCCCATGTCTGCCCCTCCTACCCATTTGGGTGAATATTCTTCTTTACATCCTTGGTTGTTGGACTTCCATAACAGTTTGATTTTTTTGGAAGTTCTGGTTGTTTTCTCTTTTGAAGTTAGTTATGATCTTTCTATGGCTGTGCAAGGAGGTGAAACATGTCTACATACGCTTCCATCTTGGCCGAAAATAATTATCTATTTTCAATCCTTTGGAAAATTCTTAAAAAATCCTAAACACTTTAGGTATTATATAAATCTTTGTGCTAACAAATATAAAGATAAATTGTTTGCATGAAATTAATCAGAAAACCTATTTGGATTAGAAATTAGACCAGTGTTAGAAATTACACTGATTAAGAGAGAAGTTAGGATATACCTAAACCACAGATAATTTTTTGTTTGATAATATTCAATGAGGAATGATAAAACAGCTATAAAAGAATGTTTATGAGTATTTTAGATTGTATTGGTGGTAGTATGCATAGATAGAAGCCAACTAGATGTGTTAATTATTAAAAATTAAAATAATAATTATGACAAAACACATAGTTTAGTAAGTGTTTCACATGCATTACCTATTTTATTTTTACAACATTTCTGAGAATATCCAGGCACCAATTACCTACCCTAATTTTACTGAGTAAAAGCTGGAGATAAAATGGACTTGCAGGTGGTTTCAGTGTTCTCACTAAAGTAATGTGTATGGCATGCTACTATTGATTTTAAACGTCAAGGGAGAAGGAGTGCAATTTGCTCTTGTTTTGCATTTGAGTAGCACTATGAAGATTAAATAATAACCATATTGCCTATAGATTGCTTGAGAAATAAATGTTATATTCTTATTTTTAGTATTTTTTCTCTTAGGAGAAAAAAGACTTTACATATTATTTCCATTAAATTTTTTTAAAGATTTTATTTATTTATCTTTAAAGGGGAAGGGGAGGAGTGAGGGAGAGAAACTTCAATATATGGTTGTCTCTCATGTGCCACCTGCTGAGAAATGACTTGCAACCCAGGCAATGTGCCCTGACTGGGAATAGAACTGCGATCCTTTGGTTTGTGGGCCCGTGCAAATCCACTGAGCTATACCAGCCAGGGCAAATCTGTAAACAAACAAACAAACAAACAGTGTATGGTTCTATTTGTAAACATTCCCTGAAATGTTTTGAAAATGATGGTTTACAGTACATCAATCAAGTTATTGTAATTAAAGGACAATTCTAAAAAGATAAAAAGATCTGTAACCAATATTTTAATTTGTCCTTTAATTTCTATCAAATTAGATAGAATGATGTAATACATATGGAAACTCCTTAGGAAGAGACAAGTTTAGTCAAGAATTCATAGAGAAAAATATGAGAGGAGAAGGTTCAAAACAGGGACTGTATGTTTTAAATTTTTATGTCTAAGATTTTAGATTCAGCATAGTAACTTCAGAGACATGAGGAGTTACAGGTGTTAGTCTAGACTTTCCACAGCAATCATAATAAGAGCAGTTCCTCTTTTGTATGTTTCCAAACTACGTTTGCAATGAGTTCGTTTGTCCTCTATCTCCATTCACTACTCACTTAACACAAATTATGAAAGTTGAAAAAGGTTTAAAATTAGTAAAAAATGTTTTTTAAATGAAAAAAGTTTTTGCTCATATACATTTTTAAAAATACTCATTTAGACTTAGGGAACTGAACTGAAAGTTTTCCAATGAAGTACTCATTCCTGCTGCCAAGCCCTTCATATAATTTTGGATCAAATTCACTAAAGACATAAAGCGTGAGTCTTACCTGGTAGGGTATGAGGCACTGTCACCTTTTTCTATGAACAGACATCATGTTCAATATGCTCCAATAGAACATTTATGAAATAAACAAGCACAAAAGTAACAGTACTAAAATAGAGTATATAAAATAATTTATCTCCTTCAAATTGTATTTTAAGTTTGCAAATTTATTTTTGGCAAAGGTGAGTGTAATAGAGGACAGATGACAGATGATAGATGACAGGTGAGTATAACAGATGAAGAATCTGTCACCTACAATGTATGAGTTCTGGACAACATTATAACTAGCACACCTAGACTGTGTTCATGCTTTTTTTCTAAAACATTATATTTGTACTAAGAGCAAATGTATTAGTTTCTGATTTGTTTTCTTATATGTGATTCTAAGTTTTGCTGTCATTAGTAATTCATATGTTGACTTTTTTATTGCATGTACATGATTCACCCAAGGACCAAGAGACCAGCTACACGATTATCAAATCTAAAGAGACAACTATAACTGCAGAGGGCTTGAAACCAGCTTCGGTGTACATCTTCCAAATTCGAGCACGCACAGCAGCAGGCTATGGTGTCTTCAGTCGAAGATTTGAGTTTGAAACCATCCCAGTGTGTAAGTCATTTTAATTACTGTCAACTCATATCCCTGTAATGGTTCCCAGAAAAGAGCCAGTGGATCAATACTCTCCCCAGGCATTCTGTCAGTCTTCGCTCCTTCTCTCTCTCCCAGGCATGACCCTTTCAGGTAGGAAGGCTGTGTCATGCTATTTTGGTTGGTTAGCACGTTAACACTTTGGTCCCTACTCCTCGTTGAATTAATTCTACTGGGGGATGAAACATCAGGAGATCCTCAAGAAATGTTTAAACCTTGCTTTTAAAGACTTCCTTTCCTCTGCTCCCATACTTTATTGAATTATGGCCACTTACCTTCTACTTGGTTTATTGAACAATGCTATGAGGCTTAGTCTTTCTATGACAACTCCACAGGGAGCTTTCATTAGTATTGAATTTGGCAAGAAAATAGTGCTCTCAGAAACTAATCTGATTGTTTCTAAAAAAGCAAAACCCCTGACAGTATCTCTGAATGGAGGATATGGAAACATTTCTAGAAAACCATTTTTGTGCTTTTTTCCCCATAAAATAGCACAAAACTTTTTCCTGTTTAATGTCAAACAAAACATCTAAAATACTTGTATTTAAAAGCAGGATTAGAGGAAGATAATAACTTCCTTGTTTATATACAATATAAAAATTAAGTTGTATAAAAATTAGTGATTTTGAAATAAAATAAAATGTGTACTCACTCCTCTTGAAAACCAACAAAATGAGACATTACTTATCAGATTTACTTTATAATGATTAGAAAAATCATTAAATTAAAAATGTAATAAACCTATGAAATACAGATATTTAGAAAAATCAAGTATACTTTTTTAGAGCATGTTTGACTAAATTATCTAGAAATAACTTTTTTATTATTTAAAAAGTAGCTCCTTAGGTGTTATTTAATTTTATAAATACTAGGGTACCATGTAAAAATTATGTTATATTTCTATGCAAAAAGCATGTGTCTGAGATTTAATTGAAACTACTGATATTTAAACACAATACTATTCAGAAAAGTTCTTCAATAAAGAATAAATTAGTTTCAAAGTTTTTATATTGGCAATGGATTGATGATTTAATCTCACACCTTGCACCCTAAACTAGATTTATGACAAAAGGCTTGTTATATAAACTGGCCACTCTCATAGGCCTTGTTTCCATTTTGGTATCATTAGTAGTGCTTATTGCTTGTGTGGTTTCCCAACCACACTGGGAGAAACTGGGCATTTTCTTCCATAGGCAGTAAGTATCTATTAATTTCTTGATCAGAGAAACAAGGTTAAAGCTACATTTTTGAACATTGTATGTGTGTACTTTGGAGGCTAAGAAAACACTTAAAACACTGTGGATCATATTCTAGTAGCCTGATTTTACAAACTTTAAAAACTTCATCTTTAGAAGACCTGTGTATATTTTCTGGCAGATTTTAATCAAATTGGTGAATGTGGTATTAGAAAAAAAAACATAAAAACATGAACAAGCCATAACAGAAACACAAAATATTTGGCAGTTAATAGGTAAGTAGATGCTAGGAAATTTTAGTGATAGTTTAAAAAAGAGATTGAATTTTTCTGGTTTGCTGGTTTGATTTATTGTATGTTTATTAAGGATGGATTTTAAGGCTCTTGAGGATAGATGTAATACAAGGGCTAATTTTATACAAGTTCATTTTTATGTGAAAATTAAATCTAAATAAAGAAAAAAAACAGTCTTTTCAAAATACAGTGGTGTTTTGAAGAGATATGAGAGTCAGAGACATACATTTGGGACTCCCCAACTCTCCACCTTACAGTTAACTGGTGTCATGGAGCAATTTATGAGAGGGAGGTTGAAAAGGATGTAGGAAAAAAGAAAGACAGAAAATGAGAGAAGGAGAGAAATGTAGATGATCAGGAGCCAGCATTTTTCAGGAACAGCTCACTTATAAGGTGTGGAAAGAGAATGCAGAGCCAACAGGCCTGAAAAAGCAGTGTTTCAGAATGGGAAGAAGAAAATATGGCTTATCTGATGTTATGGAACTCAAGAGGAGGAGAGTTTCAAAAATGAACTATATGGTAAACAAGGTCACTGTGACCTTGTGAATGAAAGTAAATGGAGAAGTACTCATTGCATTTAGCAAATATATCATGCATAGAGTTCAAAGGCATAAGAGAAGTTTCAGAGACCTTAATAAAGTTGGTTCTTAGATGAAGAGGATAAGTCTAGATCAGTCAGTCAATATACTGAAAAATAGGAAAAAATAAGGATGTTAAATAGAAGATAATAATATGTAGAAACAATCTTTACAATTTATTTAAGCTTGCAATAGTTGAAGTACTATACTAAGTGCTTTATATGTGTAATCTCTAATCTTAACAGAACTATAATCATTCGAGGAAATTGTCCATATTTAGAAATTAATGAAATGAGAATTCACATGGCTAAATCATTCATTACCTTGGCCCATATGTCTAGTAAATATTGAACCTGTTTTCAAATTCAAGTTGAACTGATGTCACTAAATTTTGGTATAGACATTTGTTTCCTTGAAGAGGACATGCATGTTTTGGCCTGAAAGTAGAAGAAAAGTAACCAAAAAGGAAATGAGAATGAGAGGAAATAAGCATTTCTTTTTGAAGGAGATCTTTGAAGGAACAACATCTTGGAGAGACAGGAAGGGCTCTAACAGTGGAATTAGGTAAAGCAAAAGGTTATGTAATTGTATTTAACAATGGAGTGTGGACTTGACCACTCTCTTTTATCTATAAGGTTTGACATCACTAAAACGTAAGAAGTGGGAATGGATGTGTGCATTGAGAATATGAGAAAGACTCATTACAGGGATGATTTGTTAGAATAGATAAGACCCAAAAGCATTGGAGTAGCAATTGGAGCCCAATCCAAATAACTTATATGGGCCACATTTGCATGATTTTCTCTAGAAACAAAGAGAAAAATGCTCTTTCTAAGAAGAAAGATAAAACTGAGAAAAATCAATGGTATAAGTGTTACAGAACAAACAAGGGGGGCCTGGGACGATATACTATTATTAAAAAAGCCCCCAGGTCCGTTATGTCCACCGCCCAAGGAAAGACGTCTCTCAATGCCAGAGATTCATGAAAAGGAAAGGAAATGTTTATTTAATGCTATACAAATTTAAAGTAGTGACCTAATGTCTTTATCAAAAAAATCCTAAAGTCCCTTAAAAGACCCACAAACAGACACAGTCCTTCCTTCCTTCCCCCTTTGCCCAGTCCAGAGTACTGTATCTCAGGAAAGGAAATAGAAGTCCATGGCTCAGGCAGTCCTCTGGTTCTTCCCAGTTAGTACTCCATCTCGACTGGGAGACCTCCCTGGGTTCCCGGCACCCTCCGCTGAGTCACCAGGATCTCTGCTAAAACCAGGTGGTGGTTCCCCCTTCTAAAGCTTTGGGGGTCCCCACTCTGGCAAAGGCACATTGTCCTCTCTCCCAGGGCCATGGGAGTCTCCACTCTGTCAAGGCCACGCAGTTCTCTCTCTCTCAGGGCTGCGGGAAGGGAGAGTCCCCACTCTGTCCAGGCCGCATGGTTCTCCTTTAATGGCTGCTGTGTCTGGGTTTAAGTCCCCACGCCAATCCTCTTCTACAGCTCCATTTCTGACTCCTCCTACACTTGGGCACACTTGTCCTCAATCTGCTGTCTTCTCTAGCTTTTCTGGTCGCCATCGTGGGTCTGGGCAGGTGTCACCCCATGTCATGGAGCCAATCTTCTCCCAGATCCCACACAGGCGCTGTAACTCAGGGGACCTGCCCCCCAGTCCCATCTTGGGGGGAGATCCCTTTCCATCCCCCTGGCCTTGAGCCTGGCCATAGCTATTTAGCATATTTAAGCAACCAGCCAAAGGCTATAGGTATGTTAAATGACCACACCATGGATTAGCTGCAAAGCTGCCCTGCATGTTCTTGCTCTGTGTGCCCCTTCCCAACTTACACCTGTAGGGTAAGGGGTGAAGACATCTTAAAATCTCCTGGACACCTTAAGTTCTGGACCCCATTTCAAATGCCTGTTTGGGATCCTCCCTCTTGGCTGCACCCTGTAACATAAGTAATCTGTGTTCAGAGATTACTAAAGCAAATTTTAGGAAAAATCTATTAGTGATAGTGGGTTTTCTTTGCTCCACCCCATTTACACTGCTCACTAGTCTTAAAACACCTAACACAGACCTCAACATAAAGGAATAGGAGAAAACAGGGTGAAGAACCATTAAATTGCAACTCTCATAATCCAAGAAGGGGCTAAGTAAGATCATAGATTTAGATTTTAAATAATAGTTTTTTTTTTCTTGCATGTATGCCTGGTGCAGATGATATTGTGCTCTGAAGACTGTCCTGCATGTACTGCAAGTGTAGATCGGTGTGAGAAGATGGTCAGAGTGTCCGTCAGTTTTGGTTAGAAAGAATCAAGAGGCAGGTGACAAGAATAGAAAGAGAAGTGCTTTGGAAGTCCAACACTTATGGCCCCAGTCCAACACTGGGGCCAAGATTTGGGCCAAGATCTAAGAGCTTGTAAAAACAAAACATGGAAAATAGTGTTGGTATTAGTTTTGATGACATAATTGTTCTTGGAGGTGAACTGATGCCACTCTGAATTTATCAAAATGATTTCCATTAAACTGTAAGCATTCCAGGGTATCCTGGTGAGGGTTTCTTGAGAACATCAGTAAAGTTTATTTTATTCCCTGAGTTTCTAATTTTAATTGGATTTAGTTATTAGCACAAAGGAATATTTTCCTGATTATTTAGGTATAACTATTTAATCCTGTCCATATTCCTTTTATTATTATAATTGTATTTTTAAAATATAAAGCATTTCATCTAAATCCATGTATTTGAAAGAAAGAATAATGTGAACAAATCTAATTTTTCTGCAGACTTAAGGTTCTAAATGTATGCCTTGATATTTTTCAAATAGCGGTCCTACTTATAAAATATACTTTCTGACCATACTCTGTTTTAAATCATGGTGTCTAAAATTATATTCAAAATAGTGATATTACATTTCCTGAGGCCAGAATCACATCATTCTGGACTTTAATCTCTGTCTATTAGAAAAAAAAAGGCCAATTTAAGGTCATAAGACAAGTTTTTCTAGAGAAGAACCACATACAAATTCTAAACATGTAGAATCTCATAGACTTAGCACTTCCTATTCAGTTTAAAGTGTTTAAAATCAAGGATTAAGATCCATTTTGTCATACAAACCTAAAATCCCTAGATGACTGCTGTGCAAACAATTACACATATTTTCATGATGACAAGGAAATAATCAGCAACCTAGTTATTTTTTTTAAATTTCCATTTGGATAGTAAATATTTTCTCCTAAAATTGTCTTCAGTCACACACTTTTGAGAAGAGATATTAGAGTGAAATCTCAATGTGTGTGACTTGCCTAAACCATGCATTGATCACTGACTATTTGCAGCTCGTATTTGAATGCATATGATTACATTAACCACAAGCTCCATTTTCTGTGTATTCTATCAGCAGTTGCAGCCTCCAGCGATCAAAGCCAGATTCCTATAATTGCTGTGTCTGTGACAGTTGGAGTCATTTTGTTGGCAGTGGTTATCGGCTTCCTCCTCAGTGGAAGGTAAGAGCAGAAGCTGTGATTCTCACCTTTTGCAACTGATCTCTTCCCTACTTTAAACTGACCATTCATCTGTTAATTAAGCACATCCCAAAACAAGTCAGGGAACCAATACACATATCTGTGGGGAGCCTTAATGTATGAGGTAGTTCTTAAACCTTGCCTTGACCCTGTTAGTACTAACTGTTAAGCACACAATTTTCCTTTGCCGGGTATGCTTCCTTTACAAGAATAGTACTAACTTGTTACTGCTTATTATGTCTTAAATGGAATCATAACTTTGTCTTGCATAGTTTTTCTTTTTGTTTGACATTTGTTTCCTTTCAAAAGTATTAATGGCTGCCTGCTTTAGTTTTAGCCTTTGGGAAAGGCTGTGCCTATGCCTGGTAGATTCAGAGAAATGAGACTGGTAACTCCAGTTAGCCAGCATTTTATTCTAACGGAGTGGTGGATACAAAGCAGGCACTTTGGTAAACAAGCGGTTTGAGACATAACCAGCCCTTTTTAATGACTACTATTATTTTCAGCTTCTGGATGCTGTGAACCTGAATACATTAATTATAGTATTATATGCAGGTTTAAAGTAAATTTTATTGAATGTTTTATCAATACATAATTAATGTGTGTATAACATATCTACATTTTTCATTTTGAAGGAAAATGAAATAGGTAGAGCCCCAATAAGAACTTTTGTAGAAGATATTTTATGACATAGAGTTGAGCATAATCAACTTTGCTAAAATAAATAAACAGACAAACATGAATATCATTGCACTCTATTCCTACAGCAACAAGTATTCACATTTTTTAATTTAGGCAATCCTTAGAAGGGATATTCAATAATGACAGCTGTCTATTTAAAAATGCTTTTGTGTTAGACTATTATAGAAAACTTGATGAATGTCTTCATGGAAATGTTTAAACCTGCACAAATATGTGAAATGTACTGTGAGACCTCCAAAAAAAAAATGAGGAAATCAATACTCATATTGATTGTGTAACTGTTCTATTCATATACTTTTGACTCTTCAGCACCTATTTAGTCATAAATATACAAAATTTGGCACTTTTCACTATACTGCATATTATATTCTGAAAAGATTTATGACTATATCCATAAATTACAGTAGTAACAATTTACTTTCATAAAACATTGTTACTTCTTTGAGCATTCTTTCTGTTTGCATTTGAAAATTCCCTTTCTTCTAATTCTTGTCAGTTAAGAGTGTTCGGGGTTTTCTTAAGAATATATGTATAAATCTATTGCTTCTTTTATGTTAAAATAGCAGCAATGCATTTTTAGAAATGTCATGGGAAGCTGTATTCTATTGTGGACAATTAGGTTCTTCCAGTCAGAAAGCTGGGTACCTAAATGACCAACTGATCTCTCTAAAATCATCTGGAGAGAATTCTCTACCTTTGTCCCAGTTTTCTGGAAGACAAGCTGATTCCACTAATCTTGTAATAAAAACTTTGCTCAGATTTTGATCAAATAAAATAATTAGGTTGAGTGAATGGTAACTACTAAGAAAACTATGATGCCATAATATGTCTTTTCTACCCAAAGGGGTAGATAACTATGATACATTTGCAGAGCTGGTTTGTAATGCAATTTCTTTACTCTGACTAAGATATGAGTCATTTCTTTCTTTCCAATAAATCCAGAAACATTACTTATTTTTAGGGAATTGGGATCATAAGAAAGATATTTTATTTCTTAGGCCCACACTTTGGAGAAATGAATAACCATGGAGGGATGAACCAAGATTTTGAATCTAATAAATTTTTGTGTTTGTAGGTTTATTAAAAGACAAATCGGTGTTTGAAGTATTTTATTGTAGATGTAGCACACTATCTTTATTTAACCTAGACTTTGTTAATGTGAATATATTGATGGCACACATGTATGAATTCTTCTTATCTCTATGTGAATAAGCCCCTCTTCTCAGAACATGTTCTTCCCAAATATATACATAAAATTGACATAAAAACAATTAATTTTGTTACATCCATAGCATGAGGCAAAGTTTTTGGGAGAAAGTTCAATCTACCTATTATTTGGTAATCAAAGGAAAATATAGCTTAGTACACAGGCATACACACAAATTCTGTAAGTGCCCAAATTTCCTATACAAGAATTACTAAAATTTAGTGTAATTACTGAGTTATACTTGAATCACATATACACTCAAGGCACAAATTTAAATTTTCAGCATAACTAAATTTGAGATGTGATAAGATAAATTTTGAGATGCATTGTCTTACAGAATTACATTACTTTTTAAAAATGACAACAACTTATGAATTTGTGCATTGTTCATTCATATTAATATTTTTTAAATTTCAGCCTATGATGCAAAAACTAGGAATTTGCAGTTTAAAGGAAATAATCTGAGATGTATATTTTTTACCAGGAAATGTCTTGAATAAGAGTTCTATTCATTTTGTTTAATGTGCATTGCTAAATCTCAAGCTGCATTTGTTTATGATAGCAGCATCTTTGACCATTGTATTTTACTTTTTATAGACAGTTATTTTGTTTGTATTAAATAAGTCTACTTATTCAAAAGCTAAATAATATGATTCTTGAAGGACTCTCCCCTTTTTATTCAAGGCAATGAACTTTGCAATTTTTCCTGAAGTAAGAAAATCTTACCTAATTTGTAATATCCTGAATTAACCAAGTAAACATTTGTCAATACAATGAAAACTAAATGAAGAGATGTTTTAAAAAGCTAACACATATTTTGGAAATTATCTTTGAGTACTAGCAAATTACTGGAAAAATCCTGTTCTAGAAATGGTCTAAGAACTATGAACTTTATGTTTCTCCCTCCTCTCTGTGCCAGAATATGATTTCTAAGCATGCACAAAAATATAACCACATTTGGACATTCCTTTTACTTGGAATTTACTCTCTTTTATCACTTTTAATCTCTTGAATATTTTATAAACTAGATATTTGCTCCTAAGTAAAAAATCTTTTAATTGCAAGCAATTTGACTCTTCAGTGGTGATATAAATATATCAATCTTGATATGTTGCATAAATATGTATATCACCTTCATATAATATTCATTGGCAATTTATATCCTCATTTGGACCCAGAAGAAAATGTATCTTCAAGATCCATGTTCATTGATAACTTGTATTTTTATTTAGACCGAAGAAAAAAACGAGAATTATAGCACATTGAATACTATGGGACTGATCTATTTCAAAGGAAAAATAAACTATTTATTTTAAAATACATTGAAAAATAAAAATAAGTAAAATAAAACATTTTCTAATCTTTTCAGGCTAAAACTGCTGTGCAGAAACACTTTGGAGTCTCTCTACTTAAATATGATTTTAAGTAATATAGGAAAGTGTCCTTCTTGAAAAGGAAAAGCTCTTACTTAAACTCTAACAAACGAACTGAACTGACAAGCAAAACAGAGACAGACTGGTAGATGGAGAGCACATGGCAGCTAGTGGGGGAGAGGAGGTTAGGGGGTGGAGGGACTGAGCAAAAGGGAAAAAGATTCATGGACATGGACAACAGTGTGGTGATTGCTTAGGGGAGGAGGGTATAAGGGGACTAAATGGTAATGGAAAAACATAATAAAGCTTATATAAAAAATAAAAAACAAAATTAAAATAATGGAAAATAATTTTAATATTTTAGGATTCTCTCAGTTTTAGGATTTGTGTGATCTTCCTGTTTAAAGGTGTTAAACATTCCATACAGTAGCAATTTTCAATTGATGTTCAACAAAAATTTTAAAACCATGCAATACTTGATTATTTTAGTCAGGGAAATTGATCTTTTTCTCCTTAAATATTCAAATAAAACAGTGACAACACCCAACAAACAGCCATCTGGTGTGAATGAATTGAAATTATTTCTATTTTCTGGTCAAATCAGCAATATATATATATATATATGGTGGTGTGTCACAGAATTTTAGCAATTAATTAATGTGTGTCATAAGATGAAAAGGTTGAAATTCATTGCATAGAGCATTTTCCACCAGTTTCAGATGGTCCTTTTTACTTTCTTTCTCATCAATGTAAATGGTGTTTTTCTGGAACGAGAGAACAATTCACATGTCCTCAGCAAGCTGCCAGCTAATTGCTCTGGGATGGACAGAAATGAAGCTTCCTGCATGTTGTAATTCTTTTTTAATCTCTTTCTCTTAATAGTAATGACATTGAACATTGATAACTTTCTTATGAAATCCTAATTTTGTGGCCTTCTCTTTTATATTACTTTATAGATACAAATTGTTTAATCAATCATTCTTTCACCCGAGATTGACATTTTCACAGTCTTCCAGTTTATATTTGAAAAAGTCTATTATTGTGTTCTTCCCCACTATTTTCTTTGAAGACGATCATGATATTATTTAGTTGACATTTTTTCCTCTGTGTCCCCATTTCACACATGGGGCTTCATTCTAGAAATTGACTACTGGACACTTCTTATCAAATATAAAGCTTATATTAATAAGAATTAGTTATATAGAAAATACAGAGATAATTTCTTTCTGTGGACAGAAACTTCGTTCTTTGAACTTGGCTCATCATAGAGATCCTGGTATTAAAAAATACATTTTTAATAGCTTGTTTCTGATCCCTTGTTTATCAAATGTTCACAAATTTAATTAAATGTTGAAGAAATAGAGCTTTGCTTTTTTATTTCAATTAATTCCACATGTATACTCAGTGGCTAAAGACATACACGCTTCATACACATGCATGCCACACATATTCATACATGTTTTTGTATATAAACACAAGAAAGGTAAAGATGTTTGCCAATATAAAAATTGCAAAATGCAACAAAGTCACACAGCTTCTAAAGAGGTGGAAGGATCCCCAGAAACTGTACTTGCACATTATTTTAAGGCTATGCATATATGACTTTAATACCACAAGGTTCCTGAGATAATATATTTGGTCTTAACATTAGGTTAATGCCTATAAAAACAGATGAATCATTTTCTGGGCAAAAGATCATC